GTTACACTGTTTTATGCTTGTGTAACTCTATGTTTCTAAGCTAGTCTCGTTTTGTGACATCAACAACTTCATAGCTTGGTTTGTGTTGTGATTTATGCTCCTAAAGTTGTCGACTTTGAGCCTCTAAATCCTAACATCTATTTATTGACTAATTATCTTTTCGATTCAAAAACTTTGAATCCATAATCCATAATCCACAATCCACACACATTCGACATAATTAAGTGAAGTATGTGAAAGTACGGATGATGGTAGAACATACTCAAAACTCTTGGAACATGAATGTGCTTAAACATTACACGAAGTTGACATTGTGTAAGATTAATTCTCTTTAAATATCCTTAAGTTTGTGTAAGTTTCAAAAGGATTTTAGAAGATAATTTCAAGAGGATAAGAGCCACGCAGATAAGGGAAATTTGTTATGATAAATATTGGAAGGTATGATAAATATGGAAATATTATTCTGTACGATTAGGATTAGCCGAATTATTCAGAAAAAAACGTTTAGCAAGCAGGACTCTGTTTGGTTGAACACACGTTTGCGTGGTGGAACAGGCTAAGTTCTTAGGTTGTGTCTACTCTCCAGTCTCCTTTAAATGCTATATAGAGGTTGTTTGGTGTCGAGTAAAGAGGTGTCTTAGTGTCAGGTTATTCCAATTAGGCAAGATCCTTTTTTTAGATTGTCTAAATGATTTCTGTTAGATGTTTTGAAGATGTAGGTATGTTACCGAAGTTCGTTAAATTGATTGTGTGCTCATAATTCGGTTTTTGTGTATCAAAGCGGCATCTTAGAAGAGTTAATTTGCACTCTATGAACACGTGATAATCCTTGTTCTTCACATTATATCCTTAAAAAAAAAATCATATTTTCAAAAAAGAAACTATATTTGGCAATGTGAATTTCAATTCGAATAACACATCCAAGCATCTATTGTGCGGCTGCATTAATCGATACAACTATACAAACAATACCACGCATTGACTTTTGCAGCAAGTATAAAACATATACTAATTATTAAATATTACTTTCTCGGTCTCATTATATAAGATATTTTAGAGTTATTTTTTTGTTTCATTTTATTTGATTTTTTCTAGGTTCTATGTAAAATTTAATGTGTTATAGCCATTAATATTCTGCATGATTTTTTTTTATTGGTTGATTTATATTGTAATTAGATATTAAATAATGATTTTAATGTAAAAAAACAAAACAAAAACTAATATTTATATCATTCTTAAAATATAATGGGACAGAGGGATTAGTAAATAGTGATGATGGTTTTTGTGATCGTTATAGCTTTTAAACCATCCGTTTATAAGCTATGCATTAACTGCAAGTTTGTATTAATTAATATTGATGTGGAGTATATACTCTGATGCCTAGAATAAAAATGTAAAATACGTATGAATATTAGGCATCAATTTTTTTAGTGGGAGCCTTGTTACTTGATTAGTTTGACCTATAAAAGTCTAAGCTCTAATCCACAAGATAAGCAATTTGGACATAGCTTCAAAGTATCGAAGCTGTATACTATATTTATTTCAATTAATTAGCTTTTGATTATTATTTGGGTTTTTCCTTTTATGAAAATGGCTGACTTTTATGGAAAATGATGTTCTTATTAATTTAAGTAGTAACTTTCAAAAAAGGAAAGTAAAGTAGACTTTTAGCATGGAGATACGTGATAGGTCACAACATAACTTGTTAGATGATTTCCAATCGGAGAAGAGGTAAAGAAAAACAAATTGTAATAGGACTCTCGTGAATATGTAAATTTCCTTCCATGAAAGTGAACTTGGAGAAGAGGTAGCCTAGTGGTAACATAAGAGGGTTGGTTCCTTTGTACTCCGAGTTCAAACCCTATTTGGTACGGAGGGTTATTTTTTAAATAAAAATATCCAAAAACTGCTTCTAGTACCGAGGAGATTATGAGGCAAAGGTTCGGAACTCCCACGATTTATTAAAAAAATAAAAAGTGAACTTGGAGCTATTTGGTTATTCCAGATAACATGCAGAATTTGACGAATGATGTACGCGAATCATTAAAAGTAAAATTTCTCTCGAATATGAACTAAACATGGTTTTACAGTAAGTTGTATGCATCTTATAATTACAAAATTTGTATACGGGTTACATGATAATTGAAATTTACGGATACTTATATTATCCCCTTAAGGTAATATCATTTCAAAGCGAAACAGAATTTAATTGGTTGGACCAAACATAGAATGAGTCTATGATTATAAATTTGAACGAGATGTCATTGCTACTAATAGTATAGATTATTAAAAGGAAGATCAACTATGTGCATAGCACACCATACCC